CAACGCCAACGTAGCATGCTGACATTAATATATATATATATATATATATATATATACAATTTCAAGACTCAAGTGGAGACAGGGACTGATGCAAGTGGAGAAAACAATGCGGTGCCCTTCCTGTGGAGAAAGCCCAATGAAGTGCCGTCTAGGGTGCCCTCCCAGTGGAATAATTGTGATGCAGGGCCATCTAGGATGCTCTTGTTGTGAAGAAAACGTGATGTAGGGCCCTCAAGGCAGCCCTTCCAGTGGGGAAAACATGATGCATTGCCCCCTATGGTGCCCTTGCAGTGGAGAAAACGTGATATAGGGCTCTCTAGGGTGTGTTACAGTGGAGAAAACTCTATGCAAGGCCCTCTAAGGCCCCCTTGCAGTGGAGAAAACATGATTTGGGGCCCTCTGTGTTGCCCTTCCAGTGGAGAAAACATGATTTGGGGTCCTCTACGGCCCCCTTCCAGTGGAAAAAACGTGATGCAGGGCCCTCTTGGGTTACTTTGCAGTGGAGAAAACGTGAGACAGTGTCCTCAGGTGTCCATGTTGGAAAGAAATGATGCACGTTGGTGCCCCTATGCATGCAGCTGGTGCTCTTTTAATTTTTTTTCTGACCCTGCCCCTCAGACAGCCTGAGTCTGCCACTGACTTTGAAAGTCTTCCGGGATAGGCCTGATGACAATGTGCTCTGTTATCGCCACTTGTTTGACGACAAGAAACGCAGAGTTTCTGGGGAGAGGTCAGGGAGGACGTGGGATGCAGCCTGGAGGAGGAGGAGGACAGTCAGAACAGGTATTTACATCTGCACTCAGAATATGGTCAAACTTTGGACTTGTTTTGATTGTGGAAGACACTTTAGTCTTTTGATACAAATATCAGGAGAAGCACTCTTAACCACTTAAACGTAATCTACAATGCCACATTCTAATTTATTTGTTGATTTATATCTTGCATAAATAATTTGAATCTGCAAAGTGCAGTACTTGAATAAGTACCCTAACCCTGTTACTCTTCATCATTGAATATGAGTAGCAGTGTAAACATCTGTACACAGTCTGGTTCTAATACTGACATCAGGACACAAAGTTAGTCATCGAAGCTTGACGTCAGCTGGGGAAATTGTTGCTGAGTCACTTCTATTGATCAGCAACTCGCCATTGATGCTTAGTCTCAAATGTTTGCTGTTGTCACTCACAGTGCAGCCAGTATTTAGACTGCGACACTGTTGATCTGTCTGTGTACTTGAGCACGTTGGGCATTCAGTCCTGAGTGTCTTTATTAGATGATAAAACCGTCTCTATTTATTTTAAGGGCTTTTTTTCTGCCATGATGCACAAACTATCGCCTCCCTGTTTGGCCATTCCAGCAGATATTTCTCCTCATGGTTTAATTTATAGTGATTTGTTGTGTTTTATTATGTTTCATTATTATTATGTATCATTATAAGCCCTGTCTTCTAACCATGTTGTGTTTTATGGCACAATAACCTCAATTCTAACGAGACTAGTTGTTTGGCAAACCTCCCCGTTTCCTGTTTTAATGTTACGGATGGAGCTTCTCAAAACTAAAGCCAGTAAGAGAGCCGACCCACAGCCTCCCGGCACAGTGTGCTGAACTGTGACACCAAATAATGACTTGTTTTTTTGCCTTTTCAGGCGGCTTCATTTGATTAATTGTGTGAAGGAGGCCAGTGGCTGCAAGGCTCTGCTGTCACGAGACAAGAAAGAAAAACCACACGACTGCAGCGTGTTGTGCGGTTTTCTCCTTTTCTCTTTGCTGTTTGAACATTTACATCAGCTTCCTTTGAGTTTTATGACCGCTGTGTGATTAAAAACCTGACTAAAGCCTCCTTTGTATTTCTGATATCCTTTTTATTATGTCTCTTTGTATAGAGATATGATTTTTTTTTTGTCAAACCACAATTATATGCAAAGTCTCTCCCACTGTGCCTCACACATTTTCCTGTTTTTGTAGTAGACTGCACAGTTCAAATGGGCACCTGATTAATGAGTGAATGTGAATAACAACTATAAGATTCCTGTGGTTTGATTCTGCTGAGCTTTTGTTTCTGATTCTCTTTTTCAGCATTCTGGGCCACCAAAAGAGAACTTTCTCAGTTTCTCAGTGTATGAGAGGTGATGATTTTAAATAAAGAAAGACTACTGAATGGACCTACAGGCCCAGGGGGTCAGGGGGCCTCTGTTTGGAGCGTTAATATTTCCTTTTGGAAAGTCAATCTGCAAAGAGACACTAAACCACTACAAAGACACGCAAAACAACTACAAAGAGATACAAAACAACTACAAAGACACGCAAAACAACTACAAAGAGATACAAAACAACTACAAAGACACGCAAAACAACTACAAAGAGATACAAAACAGCTACAAATAAATACAAAACAACTGCAAAGAGATGCAAAACAACTCCAAAGAGATACAAAACAACTACAAAAAGATGCAAAATGACTACAGATGGATACAAAATGACTACAAAGACACAAACCAATTCAAATAGATACAAAACCACAACAAGGAGATACAAAGTGACCACACAGAGAGACAAAACGACTACAAAGAGACTCAAACTGACTAAAGAGAGATCCAAAAGGATAGCAAAGGGACACAAATCAGATACAAAACATCTACACAGATACAAAATGACCACAGAGACGTACACAACCACTGAGGCACTCAAACTGACTGAAGCAAAAGAATCTTTGCATCCTTTGAGTCTGGGTGCCTTGCTTCTCTGTAGGAAGGGTGTGTGGCCTGATCATTGCATATCTTTGTATTGTTGTTATTAATTAAATTATATTCCACCTTTTGTCAGAGCAGAAGACAAACCTCTTTGTTATTTTGCAAAGAGCTACGAATCTTTTTCATCTGCAGACATTTGTGACATTGACTGGCTCTGGATTACTTGTTTAAAGATGGTTTTTAAGCTTTGAGTGGTTCAGTTGTTAACTTTTGTTGCTAAGCAATGTTGGCAAAAACTCTGCTTATTGGCTAGAGCTGGCACTCTTTGCCTGGCAACATTACCTGATTGTGTATTCTGGAGACACTGGCAAGAGCTTCCAGTTGCAGACAACTCTTCTGCAGAGATGGCTCCGGCTGTGGCGTCGTCCTGTTGTGTGTTATTTTTCCTCAGCTCGTCTCTAAAAGCACAGCCAGCGCACCCACATGTGATGCTATGAAATAAGCTGTTTACTTAAAAAGCTTTTTTTCTGTAATGTATTTGACTTTGAATAAACTGCTGACTGGCAGACGGTCACAAGGCCTTCAAGTTCAGAGGATGGAAACCTGCTGCAGAATTAATTAAGAAGATGGCTGATTTTTAACGTGTTTTAGGAGGTAAATGTCACTTCAGACCGTGTGAAGATGTGATTCTTTAACACAAGATCATCTGAAACCTTGTGGGAAGCTCAAGGTTCAATATATTCGTCCATAAAAACATGGGAATTGCAACACTCCCCTCCTATTTCACAAGAAGCACCAGGAAAAAATGAAAAATATCATATTTCATCCTGAAATTTGGGGTCCGAAGCGACACAAAGACTGCTGGCTGCAGTGCCCTTGAGCAGGACACTAAATCAAATCAGTCAAACTTTACTTCGTACATTTCTTACAAGTTAGAGTGACTCAGAGTGCTTTACAGGCGACTAAAAATAATAAAGACAGCAGAAATGTAAACAGTTAAACTATTGGATATGAATGCACAAAGCAAATAAACGTGATGAAGATGTAATAATGAAACTAATTAAATACATGTATTAAAATAACTAAGAAATATAATGAAAAATAGAATAGATTTCCTTCCTTGTGGAGGAAAACATGCATTAATTATTAGGAGTCTGCACAGAGATTCTTATTAGCTTAAGAGGGTTGCCACTGGGTTAAGAGGGTTGTCTGGTAACCGCAGGGTCAACGGTTTGATCCTCAACTGGGACATGTCACGTGTCGTAGTGTCCCTGAGCAAGACACTGAACCCTGGCTCCCCGGGCGCCTGTCATTGGCAGCCCACTGCTCCCTATATACAGGGATGGGTCAAATGCAGAAGTAAAATTTTGTGTATGTGTATATGTATATGACAATAAAAAGGGTTTCTATTCTATTCTATTTTCTTCTTTAAAACAATGTAACATTTTAGTGATTTAGGATGATTAGGAGCTTGTTTCCTCTCATCACCACAGAGGTTAAAGGTTATTGATTCTTTCAAAAAAGGTATTGAGATCACTAATAACCTGAATATACATATAATACCTGAATATACATATAATAAACATACAGTACAGAGGGTTGTGGCTCTCAGACGCTCCTGTAGGTGTCACTCTCTGACATCTTTTCACAGAACTGCGTGGGGACGTTTCTACATTTATTACATCTGATCAGCTACAACAAGACAATTTATATCAAAAACACACGAGCCTGATGAAATTCAGACAGGGGGCGGGGTTAAACATCCACTCCCACACCTCTTATTTTAGATCTTAAAACTAGTTTATATTTCTTTATTTAAATGATGATTTAACTGCTCACCAGGTGTGATGCAGAGCTGAGGTCAGCTCCGGGATCAAACAGGTGTTATAGAGGAATCAATACATCATCGCATCATTTTTATTTACATGTTTACCAGAAGGTGGGTTTGTGTAATCATTTTGTCTATACAAGGAATTTGACTAGGTGGATGGTGCATAACATTAAAACAATCAACACAAAATACAAGACATGATTTAAATTCAGAAACATATTGAAATTTACAATAAAATATACAAATATGGTAAATAAACAAACAGATAAGAGTATATTAAAACAAATATATTATTAAAGTGCGGATAAAAAGGCTTTGCATACCTTAAAGTCATAATAAACTAAATATAAATGTGTGATATAAAGTCCCCTACAATGAACATATATGAACAGTGATGTTTAATAACGTGCACATCCACGAGGCTACAGCAGGAGGTGTGCGTGGCTGCAGACCAGCTCGTGCCAGTCCGGCTGCGCACATAATTTAAAAACTTTTCTGTGCATTTTTTTTTTAAACGTCACCATAGACGCCGAGACATTAAATCTCTCTTCTCTTTTTTTGGCATCCTATGCAAATATATGCTGACGTAAACGATCATGTGGTTTTTGTCGTCGATCCCCCCTATGAGCAACGAGGAGGTTTTCTCTTTTTTTTTTTTTTTCCTCCTCTCCCCACTGTTGTCTTTAGGTTAGAGCTATGCTACAATCTTTACTGTACACCAGCGCTATAGATATATGCACCACTCTGGATGTCTGGGAATAATAATCAACTTCCAGTTGCACCCTGCAAAACCCCCGAAGACCACACACAGGTAAGCACACGAGGAGGTGTTGAGGGGGGGGTAAACTTCTTATTTATTTAACTCCCGGTGGGGACATTTTCAACCAAAAGTGGACCGCAAAAGTGAAGTTATTAGAGCGGGTTGGTCGCAGCCAGACTGGCCGCCTTGGGTGTCTCTTGCCCGGGCTGCTGCTGCTGCAGCCCGGGCAAGAGACAGTCTGGTTTTTTACCGCTGTGGAGTTTTTTTTACTCGGGATTTAAAAACCTTCACAGCGGTAAAAAAACAAGAAATAAAAAGACACCTGGGCTGTCCAGGTAACTTAAGTTGTGGCTGCTCTTCTTCGGTGGTTTGCATGTGTTGTCAAAAGACTAGTGAATGTCATCCGGTTTCGCGTTGTTGTTGTTTTTAAAAATGTGTTTTTTTATGGTAGCCAACTTTTGCCGTGACCCACTACTCCACACTCCGCGGTGAAAGTGCACATAATAAATGTATTAGCCAAAGCGGAGCTAGCCGTTAGCCCCCCCAGGTGAAGCTAGTTAGCGTTAGCGCCTTTCCCCCCCTTCTCATGGCAGCACGAAGCGGGTTTAATGTCGGGGAAATGTATTTGTTTTGGCTGACTCTCCTCTCTCCTCTGTCTCTTCTCTCACCCCCAAGCCAAGTAGCTAAACACCCCTTACCCACCACCACCACCACACACACACCCCCAATCTCTTGACACGGTAGCGGTAGTTTTGGCTCGTATCGCCCGACTCGAGTGTTGTTGTTGCCCGGCTGTACGTTCGGTTCAAACGGGGCTATAGCTAGCAGACAGCCAGTCTGGCTGGTTTTTGGGTCATCTGAGGTGAAGCCGTCAGCGGGCTGTATAGAAAACCAACTAACCAACACACCGCCGCCTGCTCACGACTGCTTTTAAACTGTTTATTTAAATAAACAATACACTGCCCCGGTAGATAATATGGTTATTGTGTTTTTTAACTGATTTACGGATTCAAACCGTCGCTCTAACGGCTGCTGCTCCGTATAGAAACCGACCGTTGGTGTGTACATGCTGTACTGTACGGCGGTTAAAACGAACTAGTTTGATATTAAACTGGGTTTTACCGTAAATTGAACCGTTTGTTAACGAATTTAACGTCTTTAACGTGTTTATATGGAGACGAATAAGTGTTTTAAGTTAGTTGAATTGTGTTATTTAATTCGTTCACTTGTGATATATACGAACGAAGTGTCTGTTGGTTTGAGAGGAGGTTTTGGTAAACACGTTGACTTCATGCCAGTTCATGGCAGACTGGTTTTCTACTGGTTTAAATGCAGAAATAGAAACCCAGTATGTACAGTATTGTGGTTTTATATATATGGGAAAAGGCTGTTAGTGTGTATCATACTGGTTCGTAAAGAAACTGGCTGTCAGTTACCTTAATGGTAGACTGGTTTTAACTGGTTTAGACTGCCAGTATGTACAATAAACTGTTTTATATATATGGGAAAAGGCTGTTAGTGTGTATCATACTGGTTTGTAAAGAAGCTGGCTGTCGTTTACCTTAATGGTAGACTGGTTTTAACTGGTTTATGCAGAAATATGCTGGAAGTATGTACAGTATTCTGGTTTTACTACTGTTTTATATGAGAAGCAGGCTGTTAGTGTGTAGGACACTGGTTTGTGAGCAAACTGGCTGTCACTTTCTCTAATAACTGACTGATTTTAACTGGTTTATGCAGAAATAGGCTGTCGGTATGTACAGTATTCTGGTTTTAAACTGTTTCATATAAGCAACAGTGTGTATGATACTGGGTTGTAAAGAAACTGGCTGTCATTTACATTAATGGTAGACTGGTTTTAACTAGTTTAGGCTGAAATATGCAGCCAGTATGTACAGTATTCTGTTGTTTAAACAGTTTTTTATATGAGGATCAGGCTGTCGGTGTGTATGATACTGGTTTGTAAAGAAACTGGCTGTCATTTACCTTAATGGAAGACTGGTTTTAACTGGTTTAGACTGCCAGTATGTCCAGTATTCTGGCTTTTTATATATATATATATATATATATATATATATATATATATATATATATATATATATAATGGTGTGAAATGTTTTTTTACGCCCAATGACCTCTGACCCCTCCGGCAGAAGAATAACATCAAAAAAATAAACAAATCTACTTTTTTGACAGTGTGACTGAAGTGTGTTTTGGCTCTTAGGAAAACCCTCCTCTTCCTCCTCTTCCTCCTATACTGCCCGGTGACAGCGTTAACATCCACCACCACACAAAAAGTGTCAGATTTTAGTTTTTTTTTAATATTATCTCCCTCTCGATTGTTCTGGTTCATAATCACATTTCCTTTTTTTTTTTTTCTTCCATTGACCGACTTTTTTTTGTCTCATATTTTGCAGCTATTGTGTCGCCACCGTGTCAGGCTTTTTAATCCTATGATATGGATGCAGGGATCAGTCAGTCATGCTGCCAGTCTCTGAATCAGAGCACGCTCTCTAGCTGCTATTTATTTGTCACGAACGCCAACACACACACACACACACACACTCCCCGTCCTTGCTTCTACACATTCTCTCACATCACACACACACACACACACACACACACACACTTTCACTTTTCGTCTTCCTGCTCTGACACGCTGCTATTTCTCGCCGGTTCGTAGGAAGTGCAGCTGTGATTTTGCTGTTGCCACCTAACCTGTCACCCCAATCCACACACACACACACACACACACACACACACACACACACACACACAC